AACTTACACATTTTAAGGTAAAAGGTTTTTTTTTATGCAAGATGAGCATGGTTCTAAAACATGGGTCAAGTTGGGCGGGTTGGGTTATGACCCATTGTTTAGCCCATCTTGACCAGCCCATCTTAGCCCAAGTACACTTTGGGCTGGGTTGGACAATGACCCATTTATTGGCCTAACCCAACTTGACCCGCCCAAATTCAGCCCAACCCGCCCATTTGCCACCGCTATAGTATTAATAATTCAATTCTTCATTTTATACACTCAGAAGGATTACAGATGGAATTCTTCGACATACCTGTTAGTAAGAAAATGATCGGTAAATGATCAAAATAGAGAAAGCAGCTAATAGAACAACAAATTTGAAAGCAGAACCAGCTCACAACTTCGATTTTAATCCCAGAAACAACTTCAGAATCCTAAAATATGCAGCAACTAAACTAAAATCGGAAATAGCTTTCTATTTCCCCCCTTTTTTGACTTTTTCTCTGATTTCTGAAGCATCTGTTCTCGATTTAGGAAATTTATATATATATGTTCTAATTTCTTAGCTCTAATATGTTCTTCTACTGTGTGTGAGTGAGATGATGATTAGAGGAGGGTGAGATGAGAGAGTGAAGGAGAAGGGCATCGGCTGTCTTTGTTAAAAGGGGAGGGGAAATTCGTCTCTGCTCTAGTGAGGGAGGGGCGTCTATTTTTTTTGGGAATTGAAAGGGGGATTAGCTATTTTAGGGATAGAGGGAATTAGGCCGGACTGGGCAGAAAATGTGGCAAAAATTGGGCTTGAAACAATGGCCCAATCAAATTTAGCTTAGCAGCCCTTTCTTTCTTTTCCTTCTTTATTAGCCTTTTGCAAAATTAGCCACTTTAGACTCAAATTTTAATTTAAATCCCATTTTTTGTGTGGCTAGTCTATTTATCTATTTTATCAAATAATGGACTAACGCAACTAATTGCTTAATTAACCAATCTAAGGATGCACTTTGTAATTATGTGTATTTAACTAATGCATTTAACAATGTAATTAAATTCTAAAATGCAATTTAAAATCTAGAATGCTATGAAATTAAGATTTGAATATTTTTTTTTATTTTCTTGATTTATGATATTCCTAACATGCATAACAATGCGAATGAATACAAAACAAATAAAGAAAAACTTCTAAAATTAATAGAAACGATTAAAATTATTTTTGGATTATTTTTAGGAGTAATTTCCTATGTAGGGCAAAAATTAGGTGCTCACAATGTTACATCAGGGTTCAGCTCTGAGTCCATTTTTATTTGCCCTGGCGATGGACGTGTTGACGCAGAACATTTAGGGGGAGGCGCCATGGTGTATGTTATTTGCAGATGACATAGTGCAAATCGATGAGACTCGCTGCGAGGTTAACGATCGCCTGGAGTTGTGGAAGCAGACCCTGGAGTCTAAAGGTTTCAAGTTGAGTAGGACAAAAACTGAATACTTGGAGTGCAAGTTCAGTGAAGGGACGCAGGAAACAGAAGTGGAGGTGAAGCTTGATACATAAGTCATCCACAAGAGAGATAGTTTCAAATATCTTGTGTCTGTTATTCAGGGGAACGAAGAGATTGACGAGGATGTTACACATCCTGTTGGAGCAGGTGAACGAAATTGAGGCTTGCGTCTGGTATTTTGTGTGATAGGAATGTGTCACCAAGACTTAAGAGCAAGTTCTACAAAGTGGTAGTGAGGCCGGATATATTGTATGGAGCCGAGTACCGGCCAGTCAAGAAATCTCATGTCTAGAAGATGAAAGTAGCAGAGATGAGGATGTTGAGATGGATGTGTGGTCATGCCAGGAAAGACCAGATTAGAGATGAAGTTATTAGGGACAATGTAGGTATGGCCCCTGTGGAAGACAAGTTGGGGGAATCGAGGCTGAGATGGTTCGGGCATGTGAAGATGAGAAAGTCCGATGCCCGGTGAGGAGATGCGAGAGGTTGACCATAGCAGGGCATAAGAGAGGTAGATGGAGGCCTAGGAAGTATTGTGAGAGGTGATTAGGCAGGACATGGCACTACTTCAGTTTACCGAGGATATGACCCTCGATAGAGAGGTGTGGAGGTCGAGGATTAGGGTTCTGGGTTGACAAATAATCGATAATGTCTTCTAGTCGTACTAGTAATAGTGGTACTAGTCTTGTATCCCCTTACTCCGGGTTCCTTGTTGCTAGACGATGTGGCACCATTGCCGATAATTTTCGCACTTCTCTTGTAGCTTATTCCTAAATCCTTTCCTATAACAGGATGTGCTATTTGTTTCTGTTACCTTATTTACTTGTCATTGTTACTATTATTGCGTCCTTTTCATTGTTCTTGGGCTGAGGATCTATCGGAAACAACCTCTCTTCCTTTATAAGGTAGGGGTAAGGTCTGCGTACATGCTTTCCTCCCCAGACCCCACTATATGGGATTACATTGAGTTTGTTGTTGTTGTTGTTGTAATTCTCTTTTTAATAAGCCTCTCACCTTAATCTTCTTGCCTAGGTCCCGCACAAAGTTTTCTTATATTCCAAACCGGCCCTTCACCTTAGTCTTCTGGTCAATCTCATTCATAACAATAAAATTTCATTTTTTCCACTTATGTATTGGAAAAACATCTTATATTATATAGTCGTATACGAAATACTTTTTAAGGACGAGATCATATTAAATAATCTCAGTTTGATTCAAGAGAATGTGTGTAAGCCTAATGACAACCTTGAAAGCTTATTTCAATTTTCAGACACTCTAAGTAGGCGCTCGGACATAAGAATTGTAAAATTTTAGGTTATTTTTGAATTTTTGTGAGTGATTTGAAGTGAAAATTTTAAAAAAAAACTTTTTGGAGTTTTTCAAAATTTTCAAAATTTTCAAAATTATCTTCAAGTGAAATTTGAAAAATTTTATGACCAAACGAGCCCTAAGTAACGGCCCCTTTAAGTTGTCCTCAACGATCAGACAGACACCTCATCTGGCCGCTTTACCATTGAGACACTTCAAGTGTCTATTAAGTATATCTAGCAGACACCTCACATTGACATGACAAGTTACGTGTATTTTAATTGCATTTGGGCGCGTGAGGTTTTATCAGACGTTTTCTTTCTCGTTTTAGAATTAAATTAAATTAAATTTTGGAAGTGGGTCCCACATTAAATTATTTTTCTCACTCAATAATCTCTCAGCAATAATATTATACCTTTTTCACCCAAAATTTCAGCAACTCCACCTCTTTAAGCTACCACCGGAACAATGGCCGGAAGTTTGGCCGGAGCCTTCATTGGTCATTTTTTTTGAAGCACCAAAAAGAAAAATCCATTTCCAAATTCTTTAGTCCCTCAAGCCGATTCGCTCCGCCCCGAGTCATTTTCACCAGTGACTTCGACGACGACGACCCCTTCTTCATTGCCTTTCTCAGATCCATCATCAAGTTCCTCCACCACTTTGTTTCCCGGAGCAAGCCTCTCCTGAACCCAACTTGATCAGAACACGTCCCCCTATATCCTGCGTTTGTTCGAGAAGATTCGAAATCTCAAAATCGAGGTTCAGTTCGGTGATCATCGGTTAGAGAAAGGTGCGACAATTAGGTGGAAGACATAAGTGAAATGCGGGTTAAGGGTTCTGTTATTTGGGAAGACCGCCGGAAGAAGATGGATTAAGGGTTTTGTTATTTGGGAAGACCGCCGGAAGAAGATGGATTAAGGGTTCTGTTTTTGGGGAAGACATAAGTGAAAGGAAGAAAGAAGAGTAAGTTGGTGGGGGTGGGGCAGGGCGATGATTTAGTTGAAACTAAGGAAGAAGTCTTTCCTTTCAATGTATTTTTGTTGTTAATTACACGTGTAAATTTTTTTCTATTATAAATTATACATGTCATTTTATGATTGATTCGTTTGACACGTCATTAGCAAGTGTAACTCACGCATATGGCCTGATGCACTCGGGTGTTTATTTGATACACTTAATAGCCACTTGAAGTGTCTAAATGGCAAAGCGGCCAGTTGAGGTGCCTGTCTGATCGTTGAGGACAACTTAAATGAGCCGTTTATGTATTTCGCCTAATAAAAACTACGCATACTATTTTTATACAAAGAAAGAATATGGCGTAGTATTACAAATTATAAAATAGGGGTCTAGTTTTATCACTATTTGCACATGTGGCATGGCACCTGTAATTCAAATTTAGAGATCCAAGTCTTCTAGCGGGACAATGCACTGTATGCAAAAACAACAGAACTTAAATTCGAATTGATTTTCGGCCCGATTTACAAAATTATCCCCCGTCATCTTCCACCGATTTGCACCTCTCCGGCGAACTCCTCCTCCGCCATTTTGCCCCTCACCTTCTCCTCCCGGGAGATCGAGCTGTAAGTTCTCTCTCTCTCCTTTCTTATTCTCTCTCTAGAATTCGACATAAAACCCTAATTCCTTTCTACGAAATGATTATTTATGGTAAATTACGTATTGTTTCTTCCGAAGAAGCTAGGGGTTTCGAGCATTCAGTGAAAAAGCAAAAATGAAGGCTGCATTGGGGAGTGCACCGAGGAAAAAGCTAGCTGATATTAGCAACATACCACAAGAGATGAGATTGGGTAGCCAAAATGACAAGTCACAACATGTCTCAATTGGTCCAAAAGAGTACATAGACATGCTCAAGAAGGTAAATTCTCTGTTTTTGTTTTGTTTTTATAGTGGTATACTGGTATATTGTGTTAAGAAATGACTTTTTTTAATCTCAGCTTGATTTGGTCCTTTTTGGGAATTATTTTTGCAGGAGAATGTTGAATTGCTGAAGATGTTAGCTGATAGGAAGTATCCTTTATTTGTAAAGGAATTGCATTTGCTTAAAGTTTTTATAGATAGAGGCATATCCAGAACTTGGAGCCAATGGGTGGAAAGGGTGAAGTTGTTTTTGTGTGTGTGTGTCTGTTTGTCTGTGTGTTTCTGTGTATACCGCACTGAGAGGTTTGACAGTCTCCAGAGGTCGATCTACTCAATAATAACTGCATTCGCTCTAAATATTTATAGATATTTTGTGGATTTGTTAATACATAAACAGGCCTGGGCAAAAGTTACTGAGTTCACGTGAACCCATAGGTTACAAGCTAAATCCGCCCCTATCCGTCTCTGTTTGTAGGTGGCCTTAACTACACCTATGTGAGTTTCACATAGGCAATATAAATTCCACAATAAAAGGAGGATTGCGGTAAATTGATGGTTAGTGTAAAGATAGTCTTAATATGTTGAGTCTTCTAAACATTGAGTCTATCAAAACATGCTCTCCTAGACACAAGCTCGATTGGTAATTGGGTGTAGTTCTGATGAATAAGAGCTTCTTCGAACTAAATGAGCCCAATTATAGCAGAATGGATATTGAGAATTCGCATAGTTGTTTCCAATTTGTTTGGGATTAAAGGCGTAGTTGATTTAGTTGAATGATAGTAGGTACCTTTCTTAGTTAGCATTGGTATTATCACTTTTGTTCTTGTGAGACTGTTCCTTGATTCGTGTTCTCAATAGCACAATAATTGAATTAACTGGAGCTGAGATACAGAAGATGAGAGTTAATCTGCAGAAAATGCAGCAACAGAACCATCAACTTGCGCAATCAAACAGTCAAATGCTTGCGGTTTGTTTTCCTTTCTCATAATCAAGCTAGTTAAGTTTTAAGACCATTTACTTTCCCGTTTATTTACAAAAACTGTTGCTTTTTGCATTCTTCTCAGGAATTAAATTCAGCTAAAGATAGGGTACGCACTTGAATGCCACACCAGCTTTACTTATAAGATCGGATTGGTGATTTTATCCTTGAGCTAATGTAAGTGCTACTTATTGAACAGCTCAAAACATTACAACATGAGCTAGGATGTACAAATGGCGTACTTAAAGCTAAAAGGCTTGAAGCAGAGGTTAGTCAGGTTTAGCTAACTCAAATCTGTTGTTGTTTAAGTTGTTTTTCCTTTCACTTTTGATTGAGTTTTCTTTTTAATCAGGAGATAGAAAAACAAAAAATGTGTCAGCAGTTGAATGATGAGGTGCATAGACATTTTTTTTGTACTGTTATGGAACTAGTGGTAATTTTCTCTTTGCTGTCACCTTTTGAAGGTGGATCCCATCAAGTGTGAAGAGGCAGGGGATTCCTCTTTGGGAAATGGAGATAATGATAAACCTGCAAATATCAAAAGGAGGCTTCAGTCAAAGAGTGAGTGTAATATCTGGATATCAGGTGATATTGCTGTTAAGAAGTGCCTAAAATTCTTGCTTTTGTTCTTCATTGTTTCCTTGTGACATTTAGGTTTGGGCTCTTCTAAACAAGTTCAAGCCCAGGACAATACTGAAAATAAAAGGTTAGTCTACTTTGAACTTGTAGAATGCGACATCATTTTTATGATGTTAAAGATTCTAAATATTCTAAGAAAATTGTTCATAATGACTTTATTCTGTCTTTGCAGACCCTGTATAAGAAGGCAATCTGCTCGTTCTAAACCTGAAGCAATGAAACATGATGAAAATGATTTTGAGGTAGACGACAAATGCCACCAATGTTTAATCTAGCCCAGCAATGGTTCAACTTTCTTTTGTATATCATCTAGTGACTTAGAAAGCAATCCTGCATTGTGGTTTGAATCTAAAGAGTTTGGAAGTTCGTCTCCGAGTAGGCCTAAGTTGTTTTCTCTTTCACTTTTGACTGGAGTATTCTTTTTAATCAGGAGATAGTAAAACAAAAAATGTGCCAGCAGTTGAATAATGAGGTGCATAGACAAATTTTTGCGTATTAGATAACTGTTATGGATCTAGTGGTAATTTACTCTTTTGCTGTTTGAAGGTGGAACCAATCAAGTGTGAAGAGGCAGGGGATTCTTCTTTGGGAATTGGAGATAACGATAAACCTGCAAATATCAAAAGGAGGCCTCAATCAAAGTGTGAGTATAATATCCGATTATTCTATAATCTTCGCTGTTAACAAGTGCCTAAACTTCTTGCTTTTGTTTATCATTCTTTCCTTGTGACATGTAGGTTTGGGATCTTCTAAACAAGTTCAGCCCCAGGATAAGGCTGAAAATAAAAGGTTAGTCTACTTTGATCTTGTAGAATTTGCCGATTTCTGTGATGTTAAAGATTCTAAATAATGTTAAGAGAATTGCTCATAAACTTTGTGCTGTCTTTGCAGACCCTGTTTAAGAAGGCAATCTGCTCGATCTGAACCTGAAGAACCAAAGCACGATAAAGATTATTTTGAGGTTGAAGACAAATGCCCACCAATGGTTAATCTAGTCCAGCAAAATGGTTCAGTCTCCTTTTCTATGTCGCCTAATGACGTCGAAAGTAATCCTGCATTGAGGTTTGCATCTACAGAGTTTGGAAGATTGTCTCTGAGTAGGCCTTTAAGAAATGCAGCTAAGAAGATCCAGTCTTACAAGGAAATTCCTTTGAACAAAAAAATGCGCAGACCAGTATGAACTACCATCATCTTTGTTCTGACCTATTTACTGTAGGAGCTAGTGCTGAACGGCATCTTTGTTGGGTTGTCGAGTGTAATTTTTGCTGAACTTTTTCTCTGACTCGTGGTCGTCTCTGATTTTCACTCTCCTGACAAACATGTACATGCATGTTTCCTGAGTATGTTCTTAATCAAGGTCTTGCCTGCTGTAAATCCTGATTAAATGCATCTTTTACTGTGATTGATTACTGATGAAATTAGTTTGAGCTACTTGCTTCTTCATCTGATCATACTATGACAAAAAAAGTTTGTTAAAATCTGTTGATATCATTCAACTTATCCAGCCCATTTCTTGGCTATAAGTTTGTCTTTTGACTTTGCTCTGCCTCAGATCAAGATTTGCCGTAAAAGAAATTTAGGACTTTCGCTAGAAATTTGACCCGTGGTTCTCTGAATTATGTCAAAGGTCTATATATGAAGTTGTAGATTCTATAACGTCAGCGAACCTCATTCTCTGCTTGTAAGTTGTATCCTTTTGTATGAATGAGCGCACAAGTAACAAAAGGAAACTACAAAATTAACTCACATGCAGCAGCAGCTGCTCATATATGTCATCGTGATCATGTTGATGCCTTGTTAACTTTAAGTGGTTTCGCAGATAGATTAAACACTGTTGTTAGTTAGCTAAAGTTTAGTCTTGGTCGATTTAAGATAGCATACCTTGTTTTTTGGTGGCGTAATGCTCTGAAGAATCTGTAATTAGTTGTTTCCTTTTAGACGTCTCTATCTCTGCAATTGCAAAAAAGACTGTCCAATCACGACCGACTACTCTGCTTGCTCGCGCCCAATAAACGAATCTCTTTGCCGGTAAGGATAAACAAAACAATGGGTCACTTCGCGCGAGGTTCGTTTGATACTGGGTATGCAATGAATAGTACTTATTGTATGTTACATGTTTCTTGTTGAAATGAATGATGTAAGATGTATGCCGGCTCTTTTGATGAGAAGTTAGTTTCCATAAGTTAGTGATCAAGGATGATCTAGTGTCCATGTTCTGTTTTTCTTAACTGTTAGTTGCTGTATTTTTTTACTCTTAGTTGTTCAGATTTTAGTGGGAAATAAATCTGGTAGTAGAACAAGTCTTCAGCAACCAAAAAGCTAGGTAACATACTTCTAAAAAAGCTCCTGATTTTCAGCAACAGTTCAGGTGATTTTTAGGAACAGAATTAGACCCTAAGTAGTATATAGAAAGATCTGTGTAGCTGCTTGAAAAACACACAGAGAGAAAAGAGAGGGATGTGTTTTGCTATGTAACTCTTCTCAATTTCAACAATAAAAGCTGACTCAACTTTACCAAATCTCAGTACGTATCGTAACTCGGTACTGGAAAATGAGGAGATTAAGCAGAAAGTGCAGGAATTACTAGAAAATGGTGTGATTAAGCCTAGCAACTCACCATGTGGCTCACCAGTTGTCTTGGTTCCAAAGAAAGATGGAGGATGGCGTATGTGTATCTATTACCCAGCACTTAACAAGATCACCATCAAGAATCGTTACCCCTTCCTTGGATTGATGATTTGCTGGACCAACTAAAACTAGCAACTGTGTTCACCAAACTAGACTTAAGTCTGGTTATCATCAAGTCCGAATTGGTGAAGGAAATTCCTGGAAAACAACATTGAAAACGCGCCAAGGCTATATGAATGGATAGTAATTCCGTTTGGTTTATGCAATTATCCTGTAACCTTTATGCGGTTGATGAACGATGTATTCATGCATTATACTGAGCAGTTTGTTATTGTATACCTTGTCGCTATTTTGATCTACAGTCGTTCAAGGTAAGAGCACATTCAGCATGTGAGGCAAGTATTTCTACTATTACGACAACATCAGTTGCATCTCAACAAGAAAAAATGCGATTTCGGGAAGACCACATTGGTGTATCTTGGGTTCGTGGTAGGAAATGACAACCTGCAGATTGATCCTAATAAAATCAAGGTGATCACAGAATGGCCAAGACCAAAGACAGTAACAGAGGTGCGAAGTTTTGTGGGAGCTTGCCAATATCTTCGGAAATTCATCAAGAATTTCTCTATATTCACTGATAAAAGCTAATCAACAATTCCAATGGAATCAAGAACAAGAAGAAGCATTCCTTTTGCTGAAAAGAAAAATAAGCGAGGCACTAATCTTGGCGCTACCCAATCTCCAGAACCTTTTGAGATAGAAACAAATGCTTCAGATTATGCCATGAGCGCTGTGTTAATACAGGAAGGGCAGCCAATTGCTTAGTATTTTGAGTTATTTCAAGGAGCTCAGAAAAATTATCCCCATTATGACAAAGAGCTATTGGCCTTATATCAAGCCGTTAAGCATTGGCGGGTTTATCTTTTGGGCAAAGAAACTGTGGTTCATACCGATCATCACCCTTTACAGTATTTTAAGTGTAGTCTCGTTTGCAGCAAGCTCGTCATATGAAGTGGATGACATACTTGCAACAGTTTAATCTTGTTATCAGGTACAAGAAGGGAGCTCATAATAAGTTGGCTGATATGCTATCACGACCTCCATTAACAACTTTATGCTTAGCTTTATTTATGAAGATAGAGCCAGCTTTTCATGAAGAATATGCAGAATGGTATCTTGAGGATCCTTTGTTTCAAGACAAGATAAAAGAAGTTAAGGCAGGAAGAACTTCAAGATTCAACATCCAAAATGGGCTGCTATTCAAGGATGGAAGGTTGTGTGTTCCTCGAGCTGTAGAACGTATAAGTTGGATAGAAGCTCATACATCTAAAGTTGCTGGACATTTTGGAGAAACAAAGACGTTATTGAATCTTCAACGTTATGTATATTGGCCGGGTATGCAGGAAGATGTAAGTCAATTTATAAAAGGATGTGGATTATGTAGTGTCTCAAAGCCTGCTAACAGAAAGTTAGGTTTGTACACTCCACTACCAGATCCTACTCTATCTTTGGAAAGCATTTCTATGGACTTTTTAGGAGGTCTTCCAAAGACTCGACGTGGTAACGATTACCTATATATAGTAGTTGACAGATTCTCTAAGATGGTGGTGCTTATTCCATGCAAGAACACTGTTACTGGAGTGGAGGCAGCAACGTTGTTCTTTGAAACTGTGTGAAAGATTTTTGGGTTGCCTAATTCAATCATATCAGATCGTGATACTCGGTTATTGAGCAAATTTTGGAGCACTGTATGGGAGTTTATGGATACTAAGTTGAAACGGAGCACCACTTTCTATCCACAAATAGATGGTCAGACAGAAGTGGTTAAGCGGACGTTGGTTCATCTCTTGCGCAGCTACAACTTGCACCACCTGAAAACTTGGGATGAGAGCATACCATTTTTACAGTTTGCCATCAACCACACAATTCATGGTTCAACAAACAAGGCCCAGCAAAAGTTTGCCTTGGATTCTTACCACAAAGTCTATTTGATTTGGAGTTTAGGTTAAAGTAGCTTCACAAGATGGCAAAAATGAGGCTGACTTACTCAAGGCTCAATGATTCATTGATCATATCCGATGAGTTCATCAGGAAGTGGAACAATAACTTTTCAAGTCACAACAAAATATAAGGAGCGCCATGATAAGCATCGAATACAAGGAGATTTCCAGGAAGGTGACTTGGTTTGGCTTCACCTAGGGAAAGAAAGGTTGAAAGGCGAAGGCAAAAAGCTCAAGCCTATCAGGTATGGTCCCTTTCGGATTTTAAGAAAAATTGGAGATAATGCTGTCCAACTGTAATTGCCTGCCTATATGCAAGTGTATTCGGTTATGAATGTTGATAAGTTAAAGTTGTTTGAACCATCGTTGCTTGATGAGGAAACAACCGACATGATTCATGCGATTGAAGATTTGGGTATCTGTAAGGAATTTGCTCTTCTAGAGGACACCATATTAGAAAAGAAAATCATCACTACCAGGCGTGGTATCCGAGAATTGTATTGCATCGGAGTAAAAGGTCAACACCCCAAGGCAGCTAAATGGTTCTCAAAAGAAATTGGACAAAAACAGTTTCCTCATCTTCAGTTATAAAGAACCAAGAGGAGCAGGGTGTTATAGCGAAAGGGAGTCATGATCAAGGATGATCTAGTGTCCATGTTCTGTTTTTCTTAACTGTTAGCTGGTGTATTTTTTTTTTACTGTTAGTTGTTCAGATTTTAGTGAAAATAAATCTGGTGGTAGAACAAGTCTTCAGCAACCAAAAAGCTAGGTAACAGACTTTTAAAAAAGCTCCTGAATTTCAGCAACAGTTCTGGTAATTTTTAAGAACAGAATCAGACCCTAAGTAGTATATAAAAAGATTTGTGTAGCTGCTTGAAAAACACATACATAGAGAAGAGGGAGATGTGTTTTGCTATGTAACGCTTCTCAATTTCAACAATAAAAGAAGGTATTTCAGTTTGAGTTTCATTGTCTTTTCTCTTCTTCTTTCCCTGATGTTTTGATTACACTATGAAACTATTGTGTTCATTGAATACTCCTCGTTTAAGCAGATCAGTTAGTTATTGTGTGAATGTAAATTTGGTGATGAAGTTGTTTTGACTTTTTCTTGCAGTAGCTAGCTGAGGCAATTCTTCAACACTCTTCCTTGCTTCAGTTGCTGCAGATTCCAAGCCTCTCTCCGAATTTCAAATTTTCTCTTTGGCAAACATATTTGCTAGTTGAAGATCAGTCTTGTATTTTAATCCAACGTATTCTTCCTTCTATAGGTCTTTGAGAAAGAGTAATTTGATATTGAAATGCTTGATTTTCCCATGAAAAACAGAATTATTTGAGATAGTAATAGGTACTTGATTATTCACAAACACCTTTGTGCGCTCTTCTTGCTTCAAATTCAAATCAAGCAAACTTTCTAAGCCATAAGGCTTGATTTGCAGCAGCTGTTGCTGCCTAGATCTCAGCTTCAGCTGTAGATTGTGCAACAATCTGCTGTTTCTCAGAATGCGAAGAAAATACCCCAAAACCAAGACTAAAATTATATTATCAGAAGAATCAGCACCTAATCACTGTCGAAACTCGAAACACCCCTATGTACATCTGATTTGCACAAGACTTGATTCTAAAATTTATTGTTCTTTTAACATATCGCATTGCCCTTTGAGCTGCTGTAAAATGTGTATTAGTTGCATAAGTAGTGAATCTAGATAAAATACTTACAAGATATAAAATGTCAGGTCCCTTGTCTCATCAACTGGTTATGGTGCCAAGTAAAGTGGGAGTGAGCTAAATGATCGGATTATAGCCGTTCAATAAGTGCT